CACCGGAGGTCGAACAGGACGCGGTCGCTCGATCCTTCCCGTGAATCTCTCAACTCATCTCTGATTTAGCAGAGATGAGTTGGCCCCTACCAGAAATTCGTTGCGCCGCCCTTGGGGGCAAAAAACGGTGAAAGCTAACGTACGAAATCAGAGGGCAGCACACGGTGCTATCGCGCGACCCTGCCCGTGAGCAATCTCCCAACTGATCTCTGGTGGTGGCTTACCTACGCGTACCGACCCTGCTCGCTTTTGATGGTAAGGGAAGAACACTCGTGGCGCCCTCTGTGACTTTACCCTTCACTTACCTTACTTATTTTATCCGCAAATGGGTGGCAAAAAAACGGTGAAAGGTAACCTACGAATCCCGAGGGCAACACAGGATGCGATCGCGCGACCCTGTCCGTGGGCAATCTCCCAACACATCTCTGTCGATATGTAACGGAGGGGGCGCGTGCACGATTACCGCGCCGGTTTCGCCATCTCGTGCCGCGCGGCCAAACCCCGTAGCGGCGCCCTCGGCGGGAAGATTCGAATTTGAAGAGTACGACGATATATCGACGATAGGGAGACGTACGCAAGTTGCAATTAGCCCATTTCTACCAATATTTTCGTTGAACCGGTTATGAGATATCAATGTTTTGGTGCGCCATTCCGTGCTACAACTAATTGATTGATACTTTTGTTCATCAATAGGCTTCCCGATGATGCGACGTAATAAAATAAATCATATTTCCTTCAAGAGATCATAAGGAAGATGTATGTAAAAAATCGAGAAAAATCCGCGAAGTAGATTTCCAGCTTAGCGCGCACATGCAAACAAAAGTTTTTAACTTTATATAGGTATACACATAGAAGGTAGAAGAGGTTAAATGCAAAAGATGTGGAAAAATGAAATTGCTATAATTATTATTTTCTATATCGCGTATCTGTTTACAGAAGCGAATCTCGGATTGAACACCTCGGTTATTATTGCACTTTCGTTTTTCTTGTACTTTAGATGACCGTTGGTAATGTATTACCTGTGTTCAGATTCATTTCTTACAATGAATTGTCACGTATATTTAAATAAGCGATGAAAGCATTCCACTTTCTTTCCCAGATGTCGAAGGCTTTTAATTTTTCTGTTTCAGTCATACTGGAATAGTTGATTGAATTCATAGCAAGTTTTTTCAGGGCTTTTAGATCGGCATCTCGTGACATTATGCCTATGAATGCCTCGTAAAAGTCGTAAGAGAGTCCTTTGGCCCCCCACATTCCTGGATCATCATTAGATATCACGATTGGATATCCGTTTGCGAAGAACATACTCGCTGGATGGTTTCTCAGGTCTCGAACGAATCCCAAGACTTGATTTGAAATTGGATTCACTTCAATTGGAATATCTTTCTTCCTAGCTATTTCAAGAATTTTCGGATGTTTCAATAAAGCATACCTGAAAAATCAAATACTTTACTTTAAGCACTGTCTGCAAAGATTTCTCAACCCTTTGAGCGCCATGGACACATAAGTGCGTCAGACGTTTGGTCCAATATCGCTTGCACACCCCGATGAAATTCGCCCATAAGGCAAAACAGCTTAGCGCTCAAAGGGTTAAGAAAAGAATTACCTAGAAATAGCTTCGAACCATTAAAATCTAATAAACATTATACAACCATGTGACTTGTCAACAAATTGTATATGTATACATGGGATTGATCAAATTCAATTGGTGTCTAAAGGGAATGCTTGAATTTTTATACAAAATTTTTAGACTTCTGAATTACCGGCGCGTTTATTATTTAGTATGGATGAACTCCGCGGGTAAAAAGTAGGCCTTGAAGACGAGATATTTATGTGTTAATTTCATAATTGTAATTTTGACATCTAATTTATATGATAGACTTAAGTATTTAACAGTGGGTTTGCCTTACCCGTGTCCAATTCTTGTGGTATTCAACAGGACAGCGTCGACGACGTTCTGATCTGTGCTCGTCCCATACCAATCCGTTTCTCCGGCATGGAAGAAATATTTGATACCGTCAGAAAGCTTCGAGAGATCATTCGCAAAGTAGGAAAGAGGTTTCCCTTTGTCTTCTTGCCCGACTAGGTCGAATCCCGCAACAAAGGACGGATAAGTCGACGTCAGATTCTTCGCAATTGTTAAGTACTCCAAGAGTTGGTCATTGTCAACCAATCTCGATGGGGCGTAAATTACTCTGGCCCCCACAAAGTCTGGATGATCCCTAACGAACCTGTTAAAAAGAAAACCCATTTATTACCCGTTAACTTAAATTATCTTCCAATTTGTTTAGGGTAAAATTAAAGCGAAAAGGAAATAGAAATGACTAGGAATAAGGTACAAGACAAGTCCTTGCCTTTCGGTAACCGTCTTCATAATTTTCACCACGTCCAGAGGTCCGTATTCTTCTCCATCCAAATCGTACAATGGCGTCAATATAGCTCGGAATTCGATGTACAAAATGTTATCTTCATAGTGCTCCAATAGTGCTTGATAGAAGAAGTCTTCAAAAACTGGCCTGTAAGATAGCATAGGGATAATCGTTCCAAAAGTGCGCTGGCACTTTTCCCAAGCCGAATCAACTTCGTAGTAGGTCTTATCAGGATCGTCCGTCTTCATAGTGATCTCCTCCATGATCTCTCTATTAAGATTCGCCAGTGAAGTCGCGTTCTTGCGGAGCGCACTCAATAATCTCCAGTCGCACTCCTTGTCAGGATAAGAGAAGAACTTGAACTGTTTCCTGCCGTTCACGTCGCACATGAAGAGGTCCTTGCGGTAGGTAACGTTTTCGAATAAATAGTCCCAGGAGACCAGAGCGAAATCGTGGGCATGAAGCATCGCTCCTTTCGGCATATCCTTCAGGATCTTGAAGACCTCCGACGTCTCGATTTTCGACTTTATCGCTATGAAGTTGTGAGCCGGAAGGAACTTTGACGGGTCCAGGAAAGCTGCGGAAATGCGAAAAAGATTAGATAATGCATGCTCAGTAATCAATCTCCACATCTTACGTACACATTAAATTTAAACTTCATTAATACATCCACAGAAGGCTTATTAATCTTTAGTATTCCGCTCTTTCCGGAGTAACCGTGATGATTTTAGGAATCAAGGATCTCGAAGCACCATCTTGAGGATTGCCAGACATTTTTCAAAACCTTCAATCATTCCACGGAGAAGATAATAAATAAAAGATGCGGCTGTATCAACGAGCACCTGTAATTGTATTTTTATTCTTATGTATTTACATATGTACACTTGTTGCCGACGAGTTACGTCTAAATGGAGAACTTCACCGAGGCTCCCTCCTCTAGCTGGGCGACTTCGGCGTTGCTCATAATCTGCGCGATTTGAAGTTTGATTTCAGCCTGTCGCCGCGGCACGAACGTCTTCAAGGTCTGGGCGTAGCTTAGAAACAGCAGATCAACCGCATCCAACGATTCGGCGAACGGTTTTAACGTGTTTTGCTGGACGACTTCCGAGCCACCGGGGTCCATGCACTGAATATTTTTCTTCAAGAGTAGCGTCTTTTCCTTAGCGACTTCGTGCATCGCCGAAGCGACCTCTTCCTCGGCGACGTTCTCGACGAAACTCTCCAGCATGGTGTCCACATCGTTGCTGGGCCTCTCGCATGATGCTTTCGCGGCTACTCTACGAGATGAAACATATTTCAATAACAATGGCATAAAAAAGAAAATCGGCCGGCTAACCGCTTAAGGTGATATGAAAGAGTCAGATATATATNTCAAAATGAAATTTCGTGAGGAAAATATGGAAAATATTTTAACCAATGATTGCAAGAGAATGCTAGCTTGTCCCGGGGTTAACACGTGTTTTTCGAGCAATAATTTAGTTGCAGCTGAACGTCATAGATGGCGACGTCGGTCCTGAACAGTCTTTAGAATAATGAATTCACGGGATTTCGACAGTTTTACGGCGATCTCCTTATCATTACTTTATCGAAATGACATATGGAACGCTTCAGTTGGTATAATTTTCAACGTGGACTGTAAAAGACTTCAACATAAATATAAATGTCGGTAGCGGGACGCGCCAGCTTATGTCACCACTTGGGTATTCAAAATGACGTTACCACCAAAAAGGGTATAGATGAATTTTAATTTATCGACCTCGATGAAATTTTCCAGTGTCTTTCATATCATCTTAAGCGTATATCTTCTTAACCCGTAACCGGTGAGGTGAGATCTCTTGGACCTTCGCGTAATGCTTTCCTGGTGTAACTAAAATGTCACCTCACCGGTTATGGGTTAAAATGTCCTGAAACTGCGGAAAGACTCCGTGATTATATTCCTCGCCCAAGGTCGTACGTAAATAACGCGACTACCGAGTCGTAGCCAAATGTTAAATAAGAAATAAATAAATAAACAAACATCTTCTCCTGATAACTCACTGTCTACTAGAGACGTACGGCCTGAGAAACTCCATTTTGCTGGCCCACGTCCAGTGCTTGTATCTTTTCGCAGCTGGTCCCGTTCCATTGCCCATGGTCTTCAGGTACTTCACGTAATTGTCCCGCAAATTTCTCCACTTGTTTTTCGCGAGTTCACCTGAAAATAAGCGAGAAGCTTATACCTTGGTATCCGATTTCCAACTATGACGATGACACTTATCATATTACAAGAAAAGAACGTAAAAGTATATCCAGGTATCACGCCGGTAACGACATGCCATTTGTTTGTAGTACCCATCGTTACCAATGAGAATGAACCTAGAAATTATAGGTATCCCCGAAAATCTTCCCTCAAAAATCGACCTAGAAAAAAGTTCATGCCAACTTCCTATATCAGACGAAGTCATCGACGTGTATATTATGTATATATTCACTCAGAAATCGGTGAAAACGATATCCGTCTTTGAGGACCGATTGCCTTTGATTTCATATGATAAACAACAATGAAAATCTTCCCTCAAAAACCGACCTAGAAAAAAGTTCATGCAAACTTCCTATATCAGACGAAGTCATCGACGTATATATTATGTATATATTCACCCAGAAATCGGTGAAAACGATATCCGTGTTTGAGGACCGATTGCCTCTGATTTCATATGATAAGCAACAATGCGATTTGGTAACAGGTGACAATCAACCTTAAATTTCTGGCAATTGTTTGGTGATTTCCACCGATTTCCAGTGATTCCTGCTTGAGATTTCCCTTCGATTTTCACATGATTTGGAGCATTAAAAAAAATCCATGATTTCCTGAATGAACCCGACAGCCTGTTATCGATATTCTCGAGATTTATCATCCTCACCGCGAAAAGCATTTAGAATTGTAAAAATACCCATCCCAAGACCATTCTATTCGTCAAATATTAACTTACTACCAAATGTAATATCATGCATTGCAAATATTCCAGGTCCTCTCCTAAATATAAGAATTTTTCCTTAAAAATTGATATCCACGTTGCGAACTTCCTCTGCCTCGTCACGAATTACTCTAAATGAATGACCTACGTTAACCCTTTGGTTACTAAGAGCGCCTAAAGGCGTCCGACGTTTGGTCCAATATTGCCTGCACGGTCAGACGAATTTCGCCCATATGTCAAAATGGCCCCGTGTTCAAAGGGTTAAGGGGACGTGAAAGAGACATCCGAGGGATCAATTGTTCGTGAAACTTTTCTCGGAACTGAGTATACCGAATAGTTTCAAACATTACAACGTGAATGTGAAGACTGCAAGGTCCTGACACCCATGAAATTTCATTTTTTATAAAAAAAAAAGAATTGAAATTTCATTGGTGTCAGGACCTTCCTTACAGCCTTCATAATCACGATGCAAAGTTTCAAATGATTCGATACACCCAGTTCAGAGAAAAGTTTTATAAACGGGACCACTTTGACATCACTTTTTCATCGCCTTAAAATGGTATAAAAGTATGATATATACGTACCAAAAAGTCAAAATATTTATAAAACTGTTCTCCAAACTGGGTGCACCGAATTATCAGAAACTTTAACACGTGATTATGGAGGCTCTAAGGAAGAACGCGTTACTCGTGAAATTTCATTTTTCGAAAAAAATTCTCCATTTACCTCGGACAAGAAGCAAAAAAAGATATTTCTGTTTTCGAAAAATGAAATTTCACGTTCTTCCTCAGAGCCTCCATAATCACGTGTTAAAGTTTCAGATAATTCGGTGCCCCCAGTTTGGAGAAAAGTTACATAAATATTTAGACTTTTTGGCACGTATATATCACGCTTTTATATCACCTTAATGATCACGAATCGAGGAATGATTAACGGATAAGAAATAGCCAATTGTGTTAAAAATCACTCGTCGAAAATCAAGAGGCCCGCGGGATAACTCGAAGAGAAGAAGAACTTCTGCAAGAACTCTTACCGCTGCTCAGGCGAACTTCCGCCGCGACTTCCTCCCACGTGTCGATCTTCCTTACGACGTCCTTGTAGCCCTTGGTCCTGATGTCGTACAACGTGGGACGTTTCCTGACGGCCTCAATGAGCCGCGCGTTGTCGCACATCTCCGGCCGGTGCACTCCGCGGCGCGGCCCTCCGGGGCCTCGGAGGGGCCCTTGCGGGACGTAACAGGAGCGCGTTCAAAATCTCCGCTTGCGGAAGCGTTCCTTCCGCGGCGGAGGAGCCTCGACATCCGGCGGATACCGCGGCCGCGTGCGAACGCCCGGACCGCCGCAGCGTCGAGGCGTCAATGCGGCGATGCGGCGTTGCGGCGTCGCGGGCCGCCGCGCCGGGCTCGGCGCGATCCGATTGGCTGGCGCGGTCAGAGGCGGCACGCGATTGGTCGGCGGCGCGCGGCACCACGTGACCAGATGCACCGACGCGGCAACCGGTCAGGGCCGAATGCGGTGACCGCACTGCAATACCGCATTCGCCAGGGCCGCGCGCGCAGTCGCGGCTCGTGGTTGCTGGGCGCGAGTGCACGCCGCTGGGACCCTCCGACGCGGTCGAGTGCGCAAAGTAAGAAATTTAAATTTAAGGAGTTTAAATAAAGAAATTACGCGATCGAGGTAATGGCGAACGTTTGATCATGACACTCGGTAGAGTTCCGAGCCAAATACATTTGAACGAGATACTCGTAGCGTCGAATGATGAACAAAACTCGCCTTGCGTAGGGTTGAGTAGTAACGCGTTATTCGAAATTTTTTATGTAAGATACTTAAGGGAAGTTTTTTACGTAACATTCAAGTCAAATACCTAACAAATTACCCCACAAAGATGGCGGTGCTATACCTCACTGTTTAAACCCTTTTAGTGCCGGAGGCCGATATATCGGCCCGGCACTAGCAGACACTGCTTTTTGTAGAGCTTTATAAAAACTAAGATTTTTAACTAGCGATGGAGAAAGGTACGTGCAGGGATGTGTTCATTACATTGACGAACATGAATGTCTTCCCATCATACCCTAGCAGCATAGTATGCACAAGGAAGGCATTCATGTCCGCCAATGTACATATGTGCCCGTAATTATGACAGTGGTCTATCCTCATTTTTTATTTTTTGTTGAAAACTAACATCACATTATGGCAAATTAAATGAATCTTACACAAAATATGGGATAAATTCATCCTTTCCAGATGATTGAGTTCGACCACTTTCATAATTACGGACACATTTGTATATCCGTATTTGATTTCCTTTTGTAACGAGAGTTACGCTTGATAATAAAGTTTCCACTTGTCTTTCAGAAGGCCGAAGAAAAATATTATTCTTAAATTTAGGGACTTTTAAAGAGAGAGCGAAAGACGGTACGTAATAAAAAGAGTAAAGAAGAACTCAAACCGTTTATTTCCATTAGCAATTAACTATGTTATATTTAATTTCATACCCAATGTTTAACAAGCAACTACATCAAAGCCATTTTTCCCGAGCACACTTCACATTTTATTTCTGCGTCGACGTTTCATCGCGCTTCATATTTCAGAACTCAATTTTGCTTAAATAGTACGTGACTGAGACATGTCGAAATACACCCAGTAATGATACTTTAGTTTGTTAACTTTATTAAATCTGCGAGTTGGCAGGAAAAAAAAATGACACGCTGTAATTTCCTGTGGGACTTTTATGCCGTTTTAACGACTTCAAGAGCACTGAAACGCAAATAATAAGACTGCAATTTTGCATTTCTGCGGATTACAGATTGCAACATTAATACGTGTTTTAACAACGAGTTTTTATCAGTCACCGAGCTGTTTGCTTTACTCTGACGTGGTGGGCATGCAGAGTAACGCCAGAAATGTAAATATTTCCACCACCTCGGCAGAAAATGTAAATTAGTACCAGACAACATTAAGTCAAGAGTCTGCCCTCGTTACATCATCTCTTCAACATTTCTCCATAACCGATATAAAAAAAAAATAATCCAGATAAACTACTCGCATTATACCATTTCAATACTTCCTCAACACTTCGCCTTAAATATCCCTAATGTACACATGACAATTGCGTTAAATGAATATATATTTCAATTATTCTCAATAAGATTCAGATAAAGTACACTACAGAAGTGTTTTAATGTAGCTGTGTAAGTAAATAAGTATCGTAATATAGTACAAATATTTTAACATATTTTTAAATCAAGTACAAATTGATGTTTCTAGGGTCAGAACATGAAGTAAATAAACGTAATAATTACGAAGAATGATTATTTTTCCAGGACTTATGGACATCGCGTATTTTCTAGAGTAATTAAAAAACAATGCGAAATACAATTGTGCAATTTATCATCGAGCTGCTTCAGCTTCTACTTTCTGAACGATCAATCATTTAATCGATCAATGCATTATCACTAATCGGTATATCTGTGATTTCCGAGAAGAGTAAATAAATGCAAAAACTAGGGGTAATTACTTTTTTCAGAATATCTATGTGAAGCACATACTTTCAAGGATAACTTTAAATAGACGAAACGCGGAATTGGATCTCGGAGCTTTTTCAGCTTTTGATTTACAAAGTTTCGATAAGAAAGTAACTTACAACAAATAATCAATTTTCCCGTAACCGTAAAATAAGCAAATAAATGCGACAATATTGGTCCATAATTCTGACATCGGACACATATATCCAAGAATAACTTCAAAAATATAACAAATATAATACACAGGTATAAAGACCATAATCAAGCTCTTTCAACTCCAGTATCGCGAAGAGTAGATTATTTAATAAATATTTCATTAATAATAACAGATAACGATAAATCATTACACCCAGGGCCGTTCCTCGCGGGGGTGTAGGCAGGGTTGTGTGGGATTCGAGATTTTTTTATATAAAATGCTTAAGGTAATATGAAAGGATCATTCTATACATCAAAACATCCAAAATTTATAAAATTTTTCTCAATATAGGGTGCATCAAATCGTTTGAAACTTCAGCACGTGATTATGTAGACCCTAAAGAGGAATGCGATGCTAGTGAAATTACACTTTTCAAACAAAAGTTTTTTTATTCAGTTCAGAGTAGAAGGTTTTTTTGTTTGAAAAATGAAATTTCACGAGCATTGGGTTTTTCCTTAGGGCCTACATAATCACGTGCTAAATTTGCCAACAATTCGGTGCACCCAGTTTGGAGAAAAGTTTTATAAATATTTTGACGCTTTATACATATAGAATGATCCTTTCATATCATCTTAAAAATGCCAATCCAAACTTTTATGATGGACTCTAATCTTTTCAGCATAAGGAATTGAATCAAATTAATATTACATGCAATCTCTGTCACCCTACTCGTATACAAAAACAAAGAATCTAAATATAACCCTAAACCCTGCACATAAAATTCTGAAACAAATAGTATTAAAGTAACACAGGCGACACTATTATCTTTGCATTTTGGCGGCCTTTCCTATCATCTGAAAGATTGGAATCAAATTAATATTACATGCAATCTTCTGTCACCCTACTCGTATACATAAACAAAGAATCTGAATATAACCCTAAACCCTGCACATAAAATTCTGAAATAAATAGTATTAAAGTAACAAAGGCAACACTATTATCTTTGCATTTTGGCGGCCTTTCCTATCATCTGAAAGATTGGAATCAAATTAATATTACATGCAATCTCTGTCACCCTACTCGTATACATAAACAAAGAATCTGAATATAACCCTAAACACTGCACATAAAATTCTGCAATAAATAGTATTAAAGTAACAAAGGTGACACTATTATCTTTGCATTTTGGCGTCCAACGACCTATAATAACAAATGTTTCCAGAAACACCCCATAAGAAATACGAAACACAATATTACAAACCATCGTCGAGTTCCTTCAGCTTCAGCTTCATGAAGGCTCGATTAGCTTGTAGTTCGTCGTCTCGCAGAACGATGTCGCTCCCCAACTCGCGAGATCGCTCATCGGATATCAATTCGGCCCGACGTTCCCAATAATCGTTACGACCGTAACCATGAAAAATATCGACAGGAGTCGCCACGACGAGATTCGCAAACCCGAAGAGGAAAGCTAAGCGAAGACCTCCCATGGTGGAGTTGGTTAAATCGAGAGGGAATTCGCTCGTTGGCCGCTTTCCTGGCCGAAAGGAGAGCACACCGGAGGAGAGAGTACTCCCTTCCTGGAGTAAGACACAATGCGAATGAGACTAATTGTGGAAACACGTGTTCGCGGCAGTCGACATAAGGAGGGGATCCGGATTCAATTACTGCGTGGGGGGGTAGTACGTTAAAACCGGCCGTCTATGCCATCATTTTGGGTTCTCGAAGGAGAAATCGAATATTAATTTATGCTCCCGTTCCTTACAGATGAAAGCGCCCATCTGACACATCGACCAAGCATACGTTCTTAGTTACATAACACCGAGACAACACGATATACAACCAAAGTTATTCAAAAGGTACATCGATATCATATAACGTCGAATTATTCCCGTTCCGTAACATCGGTATAAATCTATCTGCATTGCGATTATATTGTATTCACATGTATATAACATGATATCGATATGTTATGTGCATGTTAGACTTTTGGTTTTATAACAGTGCTATTGTATAACTGCGGGAATATACATGACGTGTCGATACAATGTTATGTGTTATGTTAAGGTGATATGAAAAAGTCAGAGTGTGTATATATATATATTGGAGGTACCGATTCGTTTCAGATTTTACCACGGGAATATAAAGGCCTTACAGCAGGCCCTGAGACTCACGAAATTTCATTTTTCATGACAAATTTCTTATACTTATCGTAAAATCAACATGGCGGTTCCGTGCCCCCTAGGATGTTTTACGCCCTTTGGAGGCTTAGAATCGAAAATGAAGAGTTTCAGGACCTAGCTCGAACAATTAAGAATACCGTAGAAATGGAATATTACAGAGTCAGACGAGAAAATATTGAAAATACTTTCACCAACGATTGCAAGAGAATGCTGGCTTGTCCCGGGGCTAACACGTGTTTTCAGAGGAAAAATTTAATTGCAGATAAACGTCACAGATGGCGACGTTGGTCCTGAACAGTCGTTAGAATAATGAATTCACGGCATTTCGACAGTTTTACATCGATCTCTTCATCATTACTTTACCGATATGACATATGGAACGCTTCGGTTCGTATAATTCTCAACGTAGACTGTAAAAAAACTTGAAAATAAATATAAATGTCGGTAGCGGGACGCGCCAGCTTATGTTCCCATTTGAGTATTCAAAATGACGCTCCCACTAAAAAGGGCATAGATGAATTTTAATTTATCGACCTCAATTAAATTTCTCGGCGCCTTTCATATCTTATAAAAAAAAAAGTGTCTTATTCGAATGGATTGATTTGAAAGGGGTTTCACTTCACCTTAACATAAGTCGATCTTCATACACGTCACTATTACCTGTGTAACAAGACGAAATAAGGGATTAAATGACCCGGATGAGGATTTAATGACTGCACACGAAGTAATGTGATAAAGCCACTCGCCGTCTATATAATCATTTAATGTACTCGAAGCGAAATTCTAATTTTACTTTAGAATTGCGTACGATGTACGTAAAAGGGACAAACCGACTGTGTAAAGCAAATGGAATAGAGAGAGAGGAAATATCATGGTTGTTCAGAAAGTAAATTACGTGAACTTAATCGATCGATTTAAGTAATGTGATAATCGAATGTTTCCCAAAAAGGCCCTGGCAGCGTCAGTTTCTTTTACATATTCGATGGGGAAAAAAAAGCGATGTACCAATTATTTGTCGCCGGTACATATGAGCATTGTGATATAACTAACATAATGGACAAAAACCTTATAAGGAATTTTCTTAGAAGGGCCGCTTTGAATGAAGAACACCCTAATTAACAAACAACGTGTCTTTTATTTCACCTTGTAGTTAAGTGTCGACGTCATGACAATAGGGTAAGACCGTGTGGATGTAAATGCACAAAGTACTTGTATAAAAGAAGAAAGAAACTAGTTGCCACCAACAATAACGAGGAACGAATAACTACGGAACGAGCAATCAAAACTAGTCGCACGTCCCGTCGACCGAATTTCCTATAATCCACTTTTTCCCCTTAAAATTCGGTTTTTCGATATACAACATATAAATATATATGCAGACAAACGTCTTTTCTATTTTCAGGAATGCTTTTTTTTTTTCCTCCCCAGTGATAGAACATAGGCACTTCGTTTCATTACCATACGATTTCTTGTTAAATTATTGTCACTTGACGTTGCAGGGTGTAATCATATATAATAAATTATCGATTAAGAAAAAATAGCTGCACGAAGAAATCCGAGCACCAAGGAGAGACTTGTGAATGTTTCAATCCTTCAATTTTGTTTTCCTAGAAAGAAGGTAAAAGTGCCTCCTTATCATTTTTGTAATTCAGTCGTTTTTATGTCAAGAGGAAGTGGAGAATCACATCCGGATGGGATGAAATGAAAAATGACGATCTATGTCATTTTTCCGTCATTTCGAGAAGCCCGAAGTAACTTTTCCCTTCTTTTCCTCTTTCTCCCTTGGTGCGTGGTTGCCACTAATTTCCACTGATTACCCACCCGCTACAAGATGTAGAAAAGTATCAACACGTCTTTCGTTTTCACTCTCAGAATTTTCACTCCTTTTATATCTTTTTTTTTTCGTTTTTTTTTCTCTTCTTTTTTGGTTCCACTTTCATGCACACCAAACACGAACATTCTGCGACATTCAAAGGGAGTTTTACGAAACGACCTATTCGCGAGTACGAGCTAATATTTTTGCGAGGGTGAAAATCGCGTCACAGATAAGAGAGATTCTTCTTCTATCCATTTACAGACTGGAGGGGCCACATTCTGATTACCGTTTTTCATATCAAATCCTGGGTCGTGTATAAAATAATGGTTTAATTTCTTCGCTTATCTCGCGCATTCATTCGTACAGAATTATCATACCTTCGCGTCCTGAATATATACATGTTACAGTGAAACACCGAAATCTGGAGAATGTCGACTTTCACCGGTGAATGTCAACATTCAAATAGTTCACGGTAACATATACATACATATATATTCAATAAAATTCGTAAATATAAACAGCCATCAATGTATCGGGATCACCGAGAGACTAATACGGGTGAATATTAATATTTGTTGCACGGGATAAGTAAAAAATATTAGAAATTTCTCGCACTCCCTGACCTCGCACCTCGCCGAGATCTCACTTAAGACAGTCCGACCAAATCCTAGTCTCGTGGATTTAGAAAAATGTACAAATATGGATTTACATCTATTCTCGAGCCTATCTAGAATTCGACCGTTTCGACGGAGTTTAAACAAGAATTTCTTGAGCGCATCTTGCGTTAAAAAAAATTTCGCCCTTCCGTCTCGGTTACATATCGCCATTTACTAAATTAAGTACGCAGTGCGTAACTGTGTACAAATTAAAATGTCCATAGGTTCGTTCGTTCTGCCTCCACTTTTACGAAAAGTGTACACTTTGGCGTTTCTTTTGGGAGGGCATCTACCCGGAGGGTACACTTCCTCTACACTTTCTACCCTCGATATCCCGAGCAAGTGCAAGAAGGGTAACCCGCGAATTTGACGGTAAATTTCAAAATTGAAAAGACCAACAAACAGGAAAATACAAAATTTATGCTAACGTCTCAACGTAATACAAACAGAAGTAATTATTAATGCATCTTCTTCGTGTATAGAACGATTTAGCGTTTTAGTTTAGTACGTAATGTTTGAAGCAATTTACAATAATTATATATTACTACGTAACCGCGGTTGGAATGAACTAAACTATAATTTTTCCCTCTTGTAGTTAAATTGTTTTTCATTCTACTGCAATAATATTCTGACCCTTATTGATTCTCGATACCTGAAATTCGTGAAAGGAATTTTCATCTTCTACAATTACAAGGTAATAGAACGAACTGTAGGATTTGAAGAAAACGAAGACAACTCAAGAAGGAAGGCTGGAAGAAGCATTACATTTTCGTATTCGTCATCGTCCGATACGGATAACCACAAAATCGCGTACCTCTTTACTAAATCGTTCATCTTGGACTTTCGTGAGGTTTCCGGCGTTCGGGATGTCGATGAAAGTGTATCTACCCTTCTGCACTTTTCAAGAAAAGTGTAGTACCCTCGTTACCCTCAAGTATAGAAAGTGCAGTCAACGCGAACAAACCTATAGGTTTGTTCGTTTTGCCTCCACTTTTACGAAAAGTGTACACTTTGGTGTTCGTTTTGACGGAAGTGACGCAGACGTTCGTTTTCGAAGGGCATCTACCTCGAGGATAGACTTTAGCTACACTTTCTACCCTCGATCCCGAACGAGGGTAAGATGTTATGTAAAAGTGTAGGCCGTAAATTCGACGGCAAGTGTCAAAATTGAAAAGACAAACAAACACGAAAATACAAAGTTTGTCCCAAGATCTCAACGTAATATAAATAGAAATAATGATTAATACATCCTCCTCGTGTATAGAACGATTTAGCGTTTCAATATTCTATGTAATCTTTGAAAGATTGTACAATCATTATTCATTACAAACTATGTACTGATTTGTAATTTATTTATTTACAATTATTGTGTATTACCGCGTAACTGCGGTTGGAATGGAATAAATTGTGAATTTTAGAATAGCTCCAAAATCGCAGACTGTCCCGCTAAAGCGGCCATCTTGTATTTTCTTGAGCTTTCCGAAGTTCGGGATGCCAATGAAAGTGTATCTACCCTTCTGCACTTTTCAAGAAAAGTGTAATACCCTCGTTACCCTCGAGGGTAGAAAATGTAGACAAAGCGAACAAACCTCGTGTTTAAGCGGTTTAACAAATACTACGAATTAATAATCGTCGCCTATCTGCGCACAGTCGACGTGAACCTGGCAGAGTTTGCTCCGAAGCCTAAACTTCGGATAACCGTAAATGCAAAAAACAAAAATAAAACTTCCAATGCTGTATACAACATTACCAAGAGCATATTTAAAAATAAATGAAATGCAAGAATGATTTGCTTAACAGAAAGTACGAGAAAAACAAAAGAAATGTCCTCGATTATAGACTGTTCGCCAAAAACTGGAAACACCCAAAAGTCAAAGCTGAACATCTTTGATAACGACGTATATTGTTTAACACAATGAAAGGAGACCATGACCACACCTCGGTAATTGCAAGTATTTTTTCTTTTTCAAACCAAAATCAAATCACTATCTCTTTACATTATCCTAAATAATATATCATCGTCTCTGATTATAATTCCAGGTGTCGCGATTATTTCGACGAGGAATATATGCCGCAATTTAATATGTACATAGCACGTTATCGCGTACTTGTCGCAATTTCCAAGTCTTTTTCTTTTTTTTATACAGTTTTATAAGTATTGTTACAAATGTACACTTCCCGCAAATTTCTGTGCAGTCGACGTAGACTTGGCAGGGTTTACTCCGAAGTCCAGACTTCGGAAATCTGGAAATGCAAAGAGAAACGAATCTTTCAATGTTGTATACAACATTATCGTGAGTACATCTGAGAATAAATGAAATACAATCAATTCTTTCCTTGGTAGAAACTGCGGCAAACAATGTCCCCTACGATTATGTGCCGCAATTTGAGGTGTACGCGACACATTATCGCATATTTCTAACAATTTCTAAGTCTTAACGGTAACATCAGTTTTCCTACAAATGTATACGTCTCGAAAGTTTGTGTAATCGACGTCGGCAGAGATTGTACCGAACGCCAAACTCGGAAAATTCGTAAATGCAAAAAAGGGACGACTTTCAATATTGTATACATCATCAAGAGCACTCTCGAGAGACAATGAAATGCAATAATGGATCTGCTTAACACATTCGTGACCGGCAAATTTTGTCCGTTTCAAATACTGAGTACCGGCGAAAATAATGAAATTCTTAAACTGGTTGCCGCAAACTTTTATCGTGTATTGTTATGGACGTGAATTCACGTCAGCTGCAATCAGGAATAGAATTTAAAATGACGTGAATTCACGTCAGCGGTCGCGAATGTGTTAACAAAACCATTATAAGGGATGACCACTCGAACCGATAATAAATCTTCCTCAATTACATATCGCAATTTAATGTATACACGGCGCTTTATTGCGTACTCGTTACGATTTATAAATTTATACGGTTTTTCACGTATTTCAATGAATGTACAGTATTCACGGATTCGCGTGCAGTCGACATTGACCTAATAAAAATTGCTCCGAAGTCCAAATTCGCAAATGGAGGGAAAAATAAAGGACTCTTTTAATGTTGCATACATCATCGAGGACATGTCTGAGAGCAACAAAATGCAAAACTTGTCTACTTGACGAAAATAACTGCAAATAACCTGCATTGACTCTAATAATTATTTAACCCAGATGCTGACAAACCTCGCTAAATCAATTTCCATAAAGCCTCGCTTTATCAGCATTCTTTTTGGCGTTTTTCAAAATTCAACTCCCTTCAAAGAAGTTCATCCTGTATATCCAAAAGCTGACAGTTTATGCAACACGTTGCTTTCAACATTGATAAATGATATCTCCTTTGCGATACAGATAAATACATTCACACTTCAACGTTGCTTAAAAAAAAAAAAAAAAATGGCTGAATAGAGAAGACCTTAAGGACCCGAATTTCGAAAAACACCTTACACGGTTCATATATACACTTACCCTGAAATTGATCATCTATAAGAACGCGATTAAACAATATTCAGAGCCCACGCCCTAATTAGAAATTTCCAAAAACTCAATCTAAACTGTAATTGAGATCAACGAGCAATTATTGGATGTGCAAAATGGAACCGAAAACTCATGCTCAGACTCTTAAGTAAAAGGTAAATTCTCGTGGCTTTGTCGTTGAATAAAAAAAAAACGATGTAAAACCGCGATTATGTAACCGACAATTTTTTGTCACCGTTGGCTGAGAGGGTGCCCTATAACAAATTGAAAATAGGCCTCATATCTGAGATTAATAGAAAATTACAGGATATGTGGCGAGGATCACTTCGCTCTTTCAGTGATCGAAAATTCGCAACTCGATTTCGAAGTCATTTCCTCGTGGATCTGTCATTGTTAATAAAAATGTCGTAAAATCACGATTAGGTAGCCGCGAATTCGGAGTATCTCCGTCGACTGCAAAGGTTCCCAATAAAAATTTCAAACTCATGGCGCGTATCTGAGATTAATAGAAAATTACAGGATATGTGGGGAGGGTCACTTCGCTCTTTCGGCGAACGATAACTTGCAACTCGATTTTGAGGTAATTCTCTCGTTGATCGGTCACCGTCAGTGAAAACGATGTAAAACCAAGATTAAGTAGCTGCGAATTCTGAGTGTCTCCATTGACCGGGAGGGTTCCCTTTAGCAATTTCAAAATTGAAGAAAGTTTCCGAGATCGGCAGAAAATTATAAGATATACGGCGAGGACCACTTCGCTGTTTCAGGAATCAAAAGCTCACGGCTAAACTTTCTGGTCCGAGGTCGTCTCTCCGTAGGCCTCTCAGCGAGTCGGACAAAAGTGCCGGAAAGCTGCGATTGTTTCCACAAATTTTGGGCGTCGCCGTCAACCGAGAGGGTTCCCTTTATCAATTTCAAAATCGAGGCGAGTTTTCGAGATTGGCAGAAAATTATAAGATATACGGCGAGGACCATTTCGCTCTTTCAGGGGTCGGAAGCTCACGACTGGATTCTCGGATCCGAGGTCGTCTCTCCGTGGGCCTCTCAGCGAGTCGGACAAAAGTGCCGGAAAGCTGCGATTATGTACCCGCGAATTTCGGGGGTCTCCGTCGACTGAGAGGACTCCCTTCCTGTCGGTAGCCAGAAGCAACCTCGTGCGAGTGTTCGGCAAACTCCAGGGGAACTTAAGAAACCTTCAGAGCTTTGTCTGCCTGCACCATGGTGATAGACCCCACCAGGGATACCAGGGTGCGGTCCAACCATGTAATGGGGTTCGGGTACACCAAGCCACCCTCGTAAAAGCCCAAATGACCACCATGTGCCAATTCCACATACAGCGCGTTCGAACGATTCTCTGAAAGAAAAAAAGAGAGGGAATTCATTTAAACGATCATACAAAATGGAAACAGAAATATTCTCAAGAATTAGGTCGTTCCAAAAGTTCTATCGTTTTCCGGCAATCTTTTATGCTGTAAATACTGAGTTTCTGAAAAATGGTATCAACATATTTGGGGAGAGTACTCACTTCTCGCACTTTTATCTCAAGTGGGGATATTCCCCAGAGTTTGTATCCTTAGAGTGAAAATGCAAATCCCTAGACTGAAAGTATGGAAGAATGATTTTTTCCATGGACATACCACACGTGTGATTATCTATTATTCTTAAGAAATAATTTCAATTTGTACCTCATATCATAAATATAAAGAATTATGAAAAGCTGCAAGTTTCATAAATGGCATAATAAAAAGGTATTCCCCAGAGTTTGTATCCTTAGAGTGAAAATGCAAATCCCTAGACTGAAAGTATGGAAGAATTATTTTTACCGTGGACGTACCATACGTGTGATTATGTATTACTCTTAAGAAATAATTTTAATTTATACCTCATACCGTAAATATGAAGAATTATGAAAAGCTGCAGGTGTCAGAAATGACATAGTAAAGAAATAAGAAAAGAACGTTACGGAGCGACAAACGATATTACTATTAATATACCGTCAAGTATTACAGTTGCGGAATTGACTTTTTCAAATAGAATATGGATCAGAAATATATCGAAGTACTCTCTCCCCTATTCGCGTAACCGATAGTTCATATTCATTGGCATCAAATAACGCGAACGCAACTATGTAAGCCATATTACATTTTAATGAACTTCATTGTTCTAAATTTGTAAGAAATTTACGTGTTCATTGCTTGGGGTTTTTTTTCTTTTTCCCTTCACATGTTCCTTTCTCTCGCATATCGTGATTTGACACAATAACTTCTTGTCAAGCAATCTCACGTGAAGTATCTCATATTTTCACCTTATAAAAAGTTAGGAAATCGCCTAAATTGCTCCCTTTTATCATTTTCATTAGACTAGAATTAGAAAATCAACTCTCAGATTTCCAGATGGAAAAAGACCACAGACGATGATTACATTCCTAGCCAACTTTCAGTGCCCTGCTTATGATATTACTACAAAGATCATTTAAACAAACGACAGCACTGTTGGAATGACCGAATGTATTACTCAAAGAAATATTAAATGCTTTAATGACCACAATGAACATGTTCCTTTTTTGCACTAGCGTTTATGAATGCCTGCCTTACGGATATACGATATAGTACCATTAAATTATATGATGACCAATAAATGATATGATTATATGATACTTTAATGATACCAATAAAGTATATAACGAGAAGATATTCATGTCCGCTCGTGTTCAATAAGTCAGAAGGGTTAGTGGGGCCCAAAGGTACCGCTTAAATGGTCACACAAGAGAGAACCTAGAACGTCTCCAAAGGTATCATATAAAAAGATTAAGTAAATCAATTAATCAATTAATCAAGCTCACTTGCGAAGTCCTTGATAGGCTCCAATAGCGGTTCCGGAACGAGCGGGTCATCCAACGCATTGATGAACACCATGGGAGTATTAACGCCGTCCAAATATGAAATGCAACTGCTCCATTTGTACATGTCATTCACCGACCGGAAGTTGTGCACCTGTTTGTAATCAAAGGATGAATTATTATACTTTCACGTGTTTGAAATTAATCCTTAACGCTCCAAGTGTGCCTCTCGAGCACTGGCACATAAAAACTTGCAAGTCGAAGTATCATGAGAATAAGTTGGAGTTGCCGGTCGATATTCACAATTGACCCGCTCAGTGCACACATTGATTAACTCCATAAAACAAAAAGTTGAGAAATGCGATGAAGTAATGTAGATTCTTTTTTAAAATTCCTATATAATGTAGAATACATAAATACAGTTATAGTTTTCATATAACGGTATATAAAATTAATAAGAAAGAATAGCCAAAAAATAATCGTCTGCATTTTATATCGACAAATGTTTTTGCAGGTATTAAATTTCCTCCCCTATTCCTGTATGCCAAACCTTTTGTTCTGTTATGCTTTTGTAAATTTCGTGCCCATTTATCAGGATTACGACTACTTTTCCTCCCAATCGATGTGTTTGTTGGGGAATTTGTACCGTTGCAATCAGATGAATCCGAGAAATACGATAAATGTCTTCTTGCCCCAGACTTTCTGCTGATAAATCATATTGAAGAATCATCCCTGCTTTCCACATCCACATTGTTATTAGTTTCCCTCATCTTGATTATAACGGCATAATATTTAGTTCTTTAAAAACAATCAGGGAGTAATGTTGAAAAGACCAACAAATATGTAGTCCGTGTAATATTGGTGAAGTATACAGTAACATTCAGCGTGAGAGATCACTGTTATACCAACTACCGTCTGCATTGCGCTTCTTTCTATCTGTTTGCTGATGCGATTTTATTACTCATATTGTTGAAAGGGGGAAAGCATCTTCGGCTGTTTAAAAAAAAAAAAGCGTCGATGTACGGCCGCAACAGATAATCCAATAATACTATACTGCCAGGTATTCGTCTACGATTTACATTAGAGTATGGAGTTAATCAAAATGGCTTCTGAAATAAATTACTTATTATTCAATGCCCAAAAAAATTTTGCCGATTAATGGTGTTAATCTCTATTAATCAGGAAAGATATTATAAATATAAAAAGTTATGACTATACCAAGTGCTTTGACACCTAAATTTAAGATTTTTCAAAAAGTGGAGTTAGTCGATGTGTGCACTGAGCGGCTCAATTAAAAGTCGGAGCGTTAAGGGTTAAACAGACCCTGGTAGATATTTCTATCCAGATTACGCCAGAAAGATCTACAGTCACCAGTTGCTTCGTTTCGTCATCACAGAGAGGGTCGCTATAAAATCGTGAAGTCATTAAGCAAAGAGACACACTTAACCAGTGAGTCGCGAACTCTGACGACAAAACGAGGTATGATTGACTGCTAATAGAATTTCGGGACGACTTCCACACCTTTCTTGTGTAAGCTTCGTCGAGCTCGGGTAAGGTCGCCGCGGAAATGATTTCCCGTTCGTTGAGGCCATGTCGTCGTTTCACTTCCTCCGAGAGAAGGACGTGCTTGTGCTTCAGGATGATGTTCCTCATCGATTCGGTCATCACGTAGAAGTAGAAGCGCCTGAAGTTCTGCCAGTTGAGCAGAAACTTTGTGCCCCTAGGGGGGAAAAAAAATATTAATCATTAAACTCATTTCTTCCTCTCTTGTTCTTTCATTTCGCGAGGGCGAGGCTCTCGAAGCTCCATCGGAACCATCGGACGATTCGTTAAGATTACTTCTATTTAATTCATATAACGTCCAAGAAAAAAAATTCAAGGTCCGGGTCCATTAATAAGAAACCTGCGGCACTTCTTGCTTGTGCAGTTTACTGTTGCGTTTACACTGACAGTACATGTGCAGCGAATTAAGCCGAAGGTACTTGCAAAACGACTAGTTAGAGTAATTTGCTTCAACGATCAAACTCTTACACTAAACTTGCAACAATTATACTTGGGCATGAGACGTTCGGCATTAAGAGTATTATGAAATATTACAGTCAGATGGGAAAATTGCGGGAAAATTGAGTGAAAAAAACGATTGCAAGAGATTACTGGCTTGTCTTGTGGTTAACACCTATGATTAGAGCAAACATTTAGTTGCAGCTAGATGTCACAGATGGCGACGTTGGTCTTGAACAGTCGTTGGAATAATGAATTCACGGGATATCGACAGTTTTACGTTGATCTCTTCATCGTTACTTTACCGAAATGACATATGAAAAGCTTCACAGATTATGTAATTCTCAACGTGGACTGTAAAAGACTTCAACATAAATATAAATGTCGGTAACGGGACGCGCCAGCTTATGATGCCACTTAAGTATTCAAAATGACGTTACCACCAAAAAGGGTATAGATGGATTTTATTTTATCAACCTCGATTGAATTTCTTAGCGCCTTTAATATCATCTTAACTATTTAAAGACTCTGCACTTACTCTATGGCATTGTAGCCTTGACAAATGGAAATGCCACCGATGATGTTGGGCAGCTTGTTCGTCCCTCGTTCTCCGATGTACTTGGTCACGATGTTCCCACCTAAACTGAACCCGATGCAAACAACCCTCGTATTCGGGTGTTTCTCCAACAGGTTCAGCAGCATCGCGTGATAATCGTCCGTGTGGCCTGCATCATGATTTAAGAAACGCACCATGAATTAACCACGCGAGTTTAATAGCTATCAGTCCCCGCCTAATCGGTGGGCTGAAAAAGAGATACATCATCGTCATTAATCAACATTACGGGTCGGTCGATGGCGTTAAAGGATGAGTTCCATAAACCGTATAAATTGATCTCTTCCAGTAGTACTTCTACCTCTTGCAATCCATTACACTAAACAGTCTTGTCGCGACATTATCAGCCTTGCATGAACTCATTTGAAAGCGGTTCAAGTGTACTTTTTATGGCACAGTACAATGTATATCAAGTTTGTCAAAATTTCCGTTTCCCCGAAAGATTACATCCTGCTCGCCAAAAAAAAAAATAGCAACAACCAAAAATAAGAAACTAAATATACTGTTTAATATAAAATATACCATTTAGGATAATGTACAGAGTCAGAGGTGATACAATTCTCATTTCAAAAAATATTCGCAATTACCTAGATATGGTTAATGTCTGCTTTCGTTCTGCTATGCGACCCATGATTTTGCACAATTTTCATTGTTAAATGATACAATTTATTAAGGTAACATGAAAGTGTCATTCAATATCTATAAAACGTTGAAATATAATATTTATACAGCTTTTCTCCGAACTGGGCGTGCACCGAATCAATTGAAACTTAAGCACGTGATTATGAAGGCCCTAAAAAAGAACGCGATGCTCGTGAAATTTCATTTTTCAAAGACAAAATTTCTTAAATTTATCCTGGACTGGAGCCAAGATCACATTATTTTTTCGTGAAAAATGAAATTTCACAAGCATCGGGTTCTTCCTTAGAACCTGCATAATCACATGCTGAGGTTTCAAATGATTTGGTGGATCCAGTTTGGAGAAAAGTATTATAAATAATTTCACGTTTCATACATATAGAATGACCCTTTCATATCACCTTAAGCGTGCGAGGTATAATAAAAAATGTAGAACGACCTCGATGAAATTTTGTAGTTCAACGGCAGGTTTGAATTCATCAAACCATTGAGCTAGAGGAGATTCGCTCCAGACTCGTCATGCAAAACCCAATAGATTTTTTCCCAAGACAAGCGCAAAATGGGGCCATGAAACCATTGACCTAGAAGAGATTCGCACGAGACTCGTAATGCAAAACCCAATAGTTTTTTTCTTCTAAGACAAGCACAAAAAGGGGTCGACCCTGGCCTCAAAACGCGAAGGTCTCGTTCCTGAGTAAATTCTGCAAATCAAAGCCCACCCCCCGTCAATATTGTACCACGTATTCCAAAATTAACTCGTACATACCGTAAGTGAATATCCTCGGGGAAGTAAGCTTGACATTGGCGAGAACCCCGATATGATTAAGTACTGCACACCGATAACCGTGATACTGGACGAAGTGGACGAAAGTCTTAACGTAGACACTCTCGGAGCTGTTGCCGATTCCGGGACAGATGGCTATCGTGACATCGTCTGAAATTTCATTGATTACATTGAGATTTAAAGTGATGTAAAAGAGTCAGCCTATATATACATCTGAGAAGTCAAATGGTTGGGGAAAGTATTCACCGAATTGGGTGTACCGATTAGTTTCAAATTTTACCACAGGAATATGGAGGCCCCCAGAGTAGAGGTTCTAATACTCGGGACATTTCATTTTTCATAAAAAAATTTGTTTATTTATCGTGGACTAGAGCCAACGTGGCGTGGTACGGGAACGTTTTCGATGTTTCACGCTTCTTGGAGGCTTTGAATCGATAATGAAGAGTTTCAAGACCTAGCTCGAACAATTAAGAATACCGTAGAAGTGGAATATTACAGAGTCAGATGAGAAAATATGGGAAATACTTTCACTAACGGTTGCAAGAGAATGCTGGCTTGTCTTGTGCCTAACACCTATATCTAGAGCAAACATTTAGTTGCAGCTAGATGTCACAGATGGCGACTTTGGTCCTGAACAGTCGTTAGAATAATGAATTCACAGGATATCGATAGTTTTATGTCGATCTTTTCATCGTTACTTTACCGAAATGACACATGGAACGCTTCATTTCGAATCATTCTCAACGTGAACAGTAAAAGACTTCAACATAAATATAAATGCCGGTAACGTGACGCGCCAGCTTATGTTACCCCTTGAGTATTGAAAATGACGTTACCACCAAGAAGGGTATAGATGAATTTTAATTAATCGACCTCGATTGAATTTCTCAGCGCCTTTCATATCATCTTACAAAAAAACAAGTGTCTCATTCGAGTGGATTGATTTGAAGGGGGTTTCTCTTCACCTTAACGTAAGTCGATCTTCATATACGTCAAAGTATTAGACGGATCAATCCAACGCCCTTAAAAAAAGTGTTATTCGAGTCGATTGATTTGAAAGGGGTTTCGCTTCACCTTAACGTAAGTCGATCTTCATATACGTCGCTATTACGTTATATTAATGTTCATTTTCCTTGAGGTAGAATAACCCTTTCAGTGTCGGGCGAAAAAGAGGTGCTTATGCGAAGATAACCGGCCGAATTTTACGATTTTACTAGGATTTGGAAAAAGGCTCATAAAAACCAAACGAAAAGCAATATTTACATAATTCAAAAAGCAGGGTATTAAGGACAAAATAGAGAATAAAACAGTGACGCTAACTTTTCTATATTAATTGAAAATTACATAAATAACAAAGGTATAAGTGATAAAAAAAAAATAAAAATTGTGTTCTCTGTTTCAAAACGTAATTGCACATAGGAAAAATAATCTTTTTATCATAAATTTATATAGACCGTTTATTGCAAAGTATATACTTTAAATTTCCAATATATTTTTTAATAAAATAAGTAATATTGCACAAGAAACATAAAAAATAACTCCAAGGCACATGGTAGACGCCGGACGGATTATCTCATCCGAAACAAGTAATTATTATAGGTTATAGGTTGTTACAGGGAGGTTATAGGTTGTTATAGGTGTTGTTGTACTGTTATTTTAATTCTCTCGTAATGAAATTAGACTATTTATAACGTATTATAAATTTATTTTGAGATAGAGATCTCTCGCAAAGCGAATAGTAAAGCGCTACAAGGTCCGAGTCGATATATCGGCTCTGGCACTTTTCGCCAGTGCAGCGAGGGCCGATATATCGGCCTCCGGCACTAAAAGGGATAAAGTGCGCATAGGAACACTCACCCTCGAAGGAAGAAAGGGGTTGGTACAGATCGTAGGTCAGGGTCGTCTCGTCCGGTAAAGCAACATAAACTCGCTCTCCCGTTGGCCAGGGGCATTTCACTCTTCCGATGACACTGTGCACCACCGTCTGTACATGTCCGCTGAAACCCCATAATCTCGTCGGCTTGTATCTGAAATGAATATCAGAAATAAGTACAGTATATATTAATAATAAAAAATATATATATATGAGTCATTTATTTTGAAAGTGGTCTAAGTCCATTTATACTTAAATTGAGATATTTAAGGGTTTGCGTTTCAATGCAATTAAAAATATACGTACAGGATACCAATGAGTCATACCGCTTAAGTGTATCTAAAGGAGTTAAATTTACAGTTCCTATTAAAATAATGGCAATTATTAAGTGAATAATATGCGTTTTCTTACCAAGAATGGGGTTAAGCCACTTTCAAAATTAACAACCAGAGTCGTTATAAAAATTTGAAAGAGCCCAAGGTCCATTCGACATAATTTAAAATGCTTCAAATTGAAGAAAAATAATACTCAATTTATTATTATATATCTTTACAACACTTCCGAAACAATATTTATGCAATTCAGAACATTTCTTAACTACATAAAATACAAAACAATTTACTGCTCGTCTACATTTCGTGTATGTGAAAGGTATTTAAAGAATCCACGATGTTCCGGTGGTATATATCGTAGTAGGTCCATTATGTTCTTGAATTTCGCTCTTGTAATTTGTCTTATATTTTTATAAAGTCGTGTCAATACAATATTTTCGAATATTCTTCGTCTACGCCGACGTGGTAATAAATCCAGGACTTTAAAATGTTCATTCTCATTCATTGAGGTCCTACAGAAAATTTGGTATGGTTCATTTCTGACAAAACGCATTTAACATATTTTTAACCAGTTTATCGATTAAGAAATAATAATTCAATTAAGTTTGTCGTTATAGGGTGGGACTCAGAGTCCCACCGTGCATATTCATGCATTAAAAAGGTGGGACACTTTTAATACCACTGTGCCTCAAAGAGTTAAAGCGAGAATGATTTTAACACCGTTAAGAATTCTCCTTTAGCCCCATTATTTCTCCTCGTGTTCCTTCCCGGTTTACAGGCATCAAAACACTAAAGCCGACTTTCTACTCTGCTCTTAAACGAATGATAATCGAGGAGGATGACAATGACGTGGTTGAGAAATTTCTCTTAGACATTCAGCGGGACATGTGCGCGGAAATGTTTCTTTTATCCCCGCAAATTGTTTCTTCCCTACCATAGAAACTCCTTTAAGGAATAATCGCAATTCTCGTTGCGCAAGAACTACGTGGGCACATTAAAGCCGCGCAATGAACTCTCAGTATTCGCCGATGATTTCGCATCGCGTGACTTTTCCTCTTCCTAAAAAGAATCTCCATCTCCGGAAAAGCGTTTGCGCTTAAGGTGAAGTGACACGCGTCGAGGAACTTGATCGACGTCGATAAAGATTTTTCTAAATACCTACGTTGCCGACGTTCGTTTTTGTATTGACTGCTGTATCGAATTGTATTGGGTATTGTACCAAATGGCATACTCCACCTGTCGTTTTCGTACAATAATTATAAAGAAATCGAAGTAAAACTCCAGAAATTCTCTGGATTCATGCTTTCTGGAGCCCTAATTGACTGCAGAGGGACACCCTGCGCCATTTGTGATTTCCAGGTCAATTAAATTTTCACTCCGAGACCTCGTATTACCATCGTTTCGGCATAGAAGCGCATACAACACTTTTTTTGCCTTTATCCCGTTCAAATTCGAGATTATCGATTACCAGAGTGTTCTAAATTGTCGTAAAGTTGTCCTGACCCTTTCGTTTCTCGTATCAGAGCCTTCGATAATTGTATATCGATCGGAATATGAGAGCTCGACGCCATTTTGGGTCTGGTCTGGGCTGAGATAAAACCTTTTTGTGAAAAATCCCAACTTTGAATGTGTCAGGACAATTCTTAGATGATCAGGAGTGACGTGTCAAAGTTTCGAACAGTTTGGTCTAATACTCTTTAAAAAAAGTGTTGTATTCGAATCGACTGATTTCAAGGGGGTTTCTCTTCACCTTAATTAATTATCTCTTTTTTTTTTAATCCTCGTCTGAGATTCCCGGAGCTCGCAAGGTTCTCTCCTGTCGTAAAGTACGCAAGTACGTGCAATGAATTCTTAATCGATCGAGACCCCTCAAGGTCTGGGACAATTGATGTAATCGATCCGTAAACTTGGTTTATTCCACTTGTGCGACACGGGCTCGAGCCTCGACATATCGCACAGTTATTAGGCTTTTTTTTTTTTTTTAATTTTAATCAAGCGCGGTGAAAATATTTCCACCTAAGGAACTTCACAAATCCCAAAAATGCCATGAAATAGGACCCTTTGTCGTGAGATTCATTAAAGTAAAAGCAAAAAGAAAGAAACACTATAAAAAAATACTGAGAAACGCGACATATTACAGGTGTATTATTTTCCTTTTTTCCCGTTATCAAGTAATTAATATTTATGCAGCTTGGAATATAATAACCTGCAATCAGAAAACCGTACGAACCATTCTCTTGCCTAATATACATTTTTATTTTAAACCGTTAATATTTCTTCCTGTACGTCGGATTTCCTATTTTCGTATCATTTTCATACTGTTCCTATTTTTACTCTCATCACGTAATAAAAAGGCTTTTTCCGCTTTTCGGTACCGTCAGCCGCAGCAATAAGACTGCAGGAATTGTTTTTCCCTCGAATATCACGTATTCTTATTTTCGGCTCATAATGTTCCTCCCTATGCATCCGATGCACTTTCTGCATGCAAAGTGCAATAAAATGGTGCTGGCCGGCATTTAGATGCATTTGCGAGGAGCATTCGTGACCGGAAGAAACTCTCGATAATTAGATACCCGGCGGAGCAATTAGCTTAATAATGCAACAGCTGAGTACTCAGTTCCGGCTGGAAATTAGTGTCACACGATTAAAACTATTAAAAATGTCGAGTTATTTAAAAAGAGTTTATCTCTTAAGTGAGGTCAACCTTTAACATCCTCCGAGCTTTTTACTCACTATCATCGTTTGTTTCCATTTCCTCTTTTTATGTGGGTCACAGCGCATATTCCACGTTTAAGTTGCCATTATTATCTATTAAGGAGCAAATTCGATTTATATATCCCGAATTTTTGTTTAATTTTTTAAAAAGAGCTCATCTCCTGAGTGAGGTCAACCTTTAACATCCTCCGAGCTTTTTACTCACGTATTATCGTTTGTTTCCATTTCCTTTTTTTATGTGAGTCACAGCGCATATTCCGCGTTTAAGGCGCCATTACTTATTAAGGAGCAAATCCCATTAATATATCCCGAATTTTTGTACGGATCTTTGTACACCTTTATTTTCATTTCTATGTTATAGAGATAAACAGTCTAAAGTGTAACTCTTGCCAATGTAAATTATTTCCTCCTTAATTTCCTTTTCAGCAGATTGTAACAACGCATATTCCAAGCTTGAGATAACATTATCTACCAAGACGAGAATTGGACTAGTAATATTCCTTTAATATTATTATTAAAGTGATATGAAAGTGATACGAGGGGTCAATCGTTTATGAAACTTGTTCGTCCGATCGAACTGAATCGTTCAAAAGGTTTTTCTAAACACCTACGTTGCCGACGTTCATTTCTATATTGACAACTGTGTCGAATCACATTGAGTGTTGAACTAACAATAATTATAAAGAAATCGAAGTACAACTCAAGATGTCCCCTGAATTCATAGTTTTTGAGGCCCTAATTGACTGCAGAGGGACACCCTGCGCCATCTGTGATTTCCGTGTCAACTAAATTTTCTCTCCGAGACCTCGTATTTACCATCATTTCAGCATAGCAGCGCATAAGACCCTTTTTTTGCCTTTATCCCGTTCAAACGCGAGTTTTCCGATTATCAGAGTGTTACAAATTGTCGTACAATTATCCTGACACTTACGTTTCTCATATTACAGCCTTCAATAATTGGATATCGATCGAAATATGAGAGCTCGACGCCATTAGTTCTGCTCTGGGCTAAGTTAAAAAATCTTTTTCAAAAAATTCAATTTTTGAAAGTGTCAGGACAATTCCTAGGTCCTCCCAAGTCGTGTGTCAAAGTTTCAGACGGTTCTATTCAATACCCTTGAAAAAAAAAGTGTCTTATGTCTAAATCGACTAATCGATTAGAATTGACTAAATTGAGGATTGTTTCACTTCACCCAAATTGCGCTCTAAATAAATGCGATGGAACATTTACATTTCTAACCCATGATCAACTTGGAGGTTAACTTTAACCTACGGTTGGGTAATCAGTGATTTAACCGAGGTTTGTAGAACCGGGCATAAATATTGTTATCTGCCGTGGAATGTAATAACTCTGTAATATTATCAGAATTTTTCTTAACGACGTATACACGTTTTTTCCATTCTTCGTTTCTTTTTCCTATCGACATTACGACAAATCGTAGTCCACGCTCGAAGTGCTATTATGCATTCCACAACAGCTGAGCTCGGCGGCTGTGTGAACCTGCAATCCAGTTTGAGGCACAAAGAAAATTATCAGGCTTATTAGAATGTTTCTGTAATGTAGACGTTGTGCCATTTTTTTTTTGAAACAAAAACCAGAGCTGTTAAAAAAAAGATAAACAAATTCCGAAAATGATTATTTTAACGTTTCTGAGATTCTGGGAGGCTCCGAATTTTCCTAGCTGTCAAGCCTAACTCCTATCGGTTTAAACAAATTCTGAGTTCAAGTACTATCCCCAATGTACGCACACAAATTAACAGAGAAAAAAAAATCATAAGAATAGTGAAAAGGAAGATTTTAACTTTTTTAAGGACTTTACTTTTCTTCACTGCCAAGGACTACTATCGGTCCCAACAAATTCTGAGCATATAAGTACTTCCCGCGATTACTTGTGTAAATTAATGCAAGCCACTGCGAGAAGCCTAAGCCGTGGAAAAAAAAAAATTTTGTAAATGCTCATTTTAACGTTTTCGACGTTCTGGGAGGCTCTGAATTTCCCTAACGCCAGAGAACCCATTGGAGTCGAAAAATCCAAATTTCCACGACTTCGGAATTTAAGTTCATCTTTTTGAACAGCTCCGATTTTTAGCTGTGTGAACCTGGAAT